ACACCTCACGACATAGGCGTCACTAAGGGATATCAAGGGGTATCTTTGCTACCCCAGAAATTTTTGTGGCATAGCAAGGGTATCTTTTTGCTGCCCCAAAAAAATTTATGGATTGTAAAATTATAAATTCCATGTTTATTGTTCAAGTGTATACGAACATAGATTATCTATAATTGTGATTGTGTTCATAAGAATTATATTTTGTGATAAGTCCAATACGGACAATGGTAACGGTCCAATTTGCGATCCACAAATATTACTCGACCTACCGATAAGATTGTGTTGATCTGCATGTTTCGTTATCGCTGTTATTGTCGTTACGGGCATTTTATTCTATATTTCAGAATATTATTTATGTATTTTGACACCAAGAAAATGTTTTACAAATTATTAAAAATGAAATAAAAACTGGAACGACAATTTATAGTGACCAATGGAGAGCGTACTCAACATTAAATCCTCATTCATCAAACAGTTAACTATTTTGAATTTTTTATTGATCCGGAAACAGGAGCACACACTCAACAAATTGAAGGCTTATGGGGAATTATAAAATCCAAATATAATATTAAAAAGAATGGGACTTCTCCTTTACTAGATAGACAACTCCAAGAAGAGTGGTGGAGATCGTGTCGAAATCCAAAAACCATTTTTGATAACTTTTTGACCGATATGAAAAAGACTTCATAACAACATTGATTGAAACAATACAGTTATTGGCGGCACTGAGAAGTGGAATAAAAAAAAGGTAGGCATGTTAGAACAATTTGTATTTTACGTTTATGACGTAGGTCGCGTATTGGACCGTTACCCGGACAATAAGGCAGTGTATACACTATAGGTGACACCAAAGAGTTGACCGCCAGTGAAGTAAGCCGGTTATCGTGTTAAAACATTTATTTTTTAACTTTCTAAAAATAAACTTTGCTACCCCTAAATTACGGCTTTAGTGACGCCCATGCCTGGCGGTCGTTATCGGTCATAAATCTGCGCGTGTAAATATTGCGCACTGAATACGCGTCCGGACGGAAACCACGGCCGCCGGCGCCGCGCCCAAAACGCTTCCGCCAGAGATGGTCGCATGATCCGAGTAGCGCTGCTGTACGCACGACATGCGTGTACGTTTATCGGTCGCGATTGAATCGAGTTTTGGTAAACACCGCTTTCGCGTGGACACGAGGCTCGATCGATGATGATATCGAGAAAC